TTCTATTATCAAATGGTAAGGTATTCCAACGACACGGGGCAACAACTTAAAAAGCTCGGCCACCTCTGTTTTTAAGTCTAGATCTTAGAATATTGAGGATCAGCTGATTACCATACCTCATGGCTCTTACAGGAGTGTGTTCATTAATAAGCCAATCAAGAGAAACGATCAATAAACCTTAATATTAATCCCAAAATTAGCAAGGAGCTAATGAGTGCAGCTAAAACTAGCGTAATATGTTCATGTTTTCCCGTCCCAGTTAAACGTCAAAGAGCGTTTTCTACTAGCTGAAGCTAACAAAGTGATGACTGTGGTAAACCTACATAGAAAGGATTACAATAATCTAGTCATGTCATGATAAGAGCATGTATAACTCTGTCAAAGTCATTATAAGAAAGGTGATACTTTGATTTTCTGTTGGGCTCCACATGGTTTCTGTTTGGACAGCTTACATTATGTATTTTGCTGACTTCTCAAATGAAACAATAGCCAGTCAGGTAGCAACTGGTGGGCTTATTTTACTTTAAGTGACAAAAACGATGACTGATTTCCACTTATGCTGACACACACTGCCCATTTAACCTCACATGACTCATTTCTGCAGCTGCCTTTGTAAATGTGATTTACAGTGGCATGGCAGAAAGTCAAGCGGTTGGCAACTTGGGGGAATCTGTAGGGTGCTTACTTGGGTTACGGCTTTCCCAGTTCATATATTTGAAATGTTATTTGATGACCAATCCTTAAAGCGCTTTAAACATGGTTTTAACACTTTATTGTTCTTCTAGTAAGCCTGACTTCAAAAACCAGTTCATGCCCCCACATTTATAGGTATGGACACAAAATAAACAGATCTAAACACAGAGCAGCACGAGCATAAGCATATTCTTTTTTCTTTGTCTATTTTCCACATAAAAATGATATTATTTCAGTTTACGTTCACTCTTTTATTTTCCCTGGTCATTCACACCAACTTGCAGTGGCTTTATTCCCCACTAATTGGACGTGATATACACTTTTACACACACTGTCTTAATTTAAAATTATTAGCATTGTACATACATCAGCACTGTTGTATTAAGCACTAACATGATGAAGTTGACATGTAGCCTAACTTTTAGCAAAATGCTACATGGCTATATGGTCTTAGGCCTTACTCTTAGGAGCACGTTTTGCTCATCAATTGAAATGGGGACGATATGGTTCTGTTGCTTCATTTGTAATAAACAAAAAACGATTCAAGTTTCACAGAGCAGCTAAGTTTCCTATCTCCCTTTTAATAAACTGCCGTAACTGAAGCATGTGCTAATGCATGCCGAATGGTCTTCTACCAGAGATTACCATATAGAGCCTGCATTGTAGCGGTAATGCTGCAAAACTGTCATATCCTGTTCATCAGCAATATACAGTAATTAACCAGCCTGAACTACAGTAGCATCCGGTGTAATCTTCTGCTACTGCCAGTATGACTATGCACAATTTGCATGAGACATCATGCCCAAGTCTATACTTGTCTCTGTCTATTGGTATATAATAGGGGTGTGTGTGTGTGTATGTATGTGTGTGTATGTAAGTGTGTTGGGAAAAGTGTGGGAACTGCAGAGGAGGAAACGTGTATTTACGAAGTTGGCTCAGAGTTCCCATGAATTCCTCTGGATAGGAGATGGAGCTGGACGTGGGGGGTTGTATTACGATAACCCCAGAGGCAGACTGATTCATAATGTCAGCGCAAACTGTAATGGAGTATGTCAGGCGAAAAGTTACTGTAGATGCGTAGATGGATATAAAAAGCAAAGAATTAGCAATAGGGTGATACACTTTCAGAATGATCCAGTAATTTTTTTTCACTTTATATTTTGTATTAATGCTCTGTTAATATGTATTAATGCCAGGCAAGGTGACACGTTTCTAAATGTCACCAAAAGTGCTGGTCAAGATAAAAATGCAAATGCTTAACCCTCTCAAGGCAGGCGTTGCAGATTTGCAACAGTTAAAAACTAACAACCTGATTACCCCACATACATATTTTATGATTTTTTTTTTACTCAGAAGTACCACTGCAGGACTTGGTTGTGCATTAGCAAAATAAACTTTAATTTGAGCCTGAGAGGGTTAAGGGCTCTGATAAATAAAACACATTCACGTGAAATAAAGCCATTTCAATAAAAGCAATGATGGAGGATTTAAAAGAAATCACACCAAGTGGCTTAAAGCTTGTGCCCAGCCTTGTTTGTTTCCCCTGAGGTTATTGCTATTGTGATTCATCGGTCATTACAGTTCATCAGACTTATTGTCCTAAAGTTGCACTTTCACCATCAGTCTTATTCCCAGTTTTGACCTCAGAGATCTATTGAGTTTCACTTGTGCAATTATATATAGCTTGTACATTGATGCTGCACTAGCAGACAGTTCCTAAATCACAAGTGGTAACTGGGCATTTAAGGATTAAACATTTTTGAGAAATGCTCTAATCTTGTCACCTTGTCAAACCTGAAGAAAAAGCCTATAAATAACTTTGAAGTTAACAAGTTTTACTTGTTTATAAGACATAAAAATATGGTTGTTGGTGGCTACATACACTCACCGGCCACTTAATTAGTTACACATTGCTACTACTGAATTTGATCACTTTTTGCCTTCAGGATTACCTTAATTCTTCCTGGCATAGATTCAAAAAGGTGCTGGAGACATTGATCGGAGATTTTAGTCCATATTGACATCATACCCTCACACAGTTTCTGCAGATTGTTCAGCTTCACATGCATGATGCAGTTCTCCTTTTCTGCCACAGTCCAAATATGCTCTATCAGAATGAGATCTGGAGACTGTGGAGGCCATTTGAGTCTAGTGAACTCATGATCATACTCAGGAAACCAGTTTGAGATGATTGGTATACCCTTTATGATCACAGCATAACCACAGATGGGTATGCTGTGATCTTAAAGGAACAGACATTTTCAGCAGTAATACTCATGTTGGCTGTGGCATTTAATGATGTTCAGTTTGTACTAAAGAGGCCAAAGTGTGCCAGTAAAATATCCCTACACCATTACCCCATCACCATCAGCCCAAACCACTGATACAGGCACAATGGAGCCATGCTTTCATGCAAATTGTACCCCCAGTATTCTGTTTTTAGCTGACAGTTGTGGCACCAGGTGGTGTCTTCTGTTGCTGTATACTGCATACTTTTGTAATGAGTGGTTATTTGAGTTACTGTTGCCTTCCTGTCAGTTCAAAGCAGTCTGGCCATTCTCCTCTGACCTCTGACATCAACAAGACATATTTGCTCAGAGAACTGTGGGAACTGGATATTTTTTCCTTTTCAGACACTTCTCTCTAAATCCTAGAGATGGTTGTTCAGGAAAATCTCGGTAGACCTGCAGTTTTCTAGAAACACAAACGTTTAAAAAAAGTGTAAGGTTGAAAATTGGAATTTTCAAGTATTTCAGTTAGTGTCCTATAAAGGGTTAACGGTGTTCTAAACCAAAAGTAAAAATTATAGCATGTTAGGCAACCTGTTGTGCATAAGATAATTATCTAATGTAATCAGGAAATTGTTCCTTTGTAGAACAATTTTGTAGAACCTTGTTTACTAGAAACCCAATTAGTTACTTTTTTACAATTCTCCTTGAGAACACATTAAATAAGAGCAAGATTCTTTGTGGTTAATAAGTGAGGTTTAGAGTTGTCAGTGGGCTTTTGTCCTGCTACAGTACTTTCAGTCTTTAGGCAAAGCTACACTAAACATGTGCTCAGTCTAGTGCTACCTTTAAAGCTAGCCTGTGTAGTAAAGCCTGCTGGTCAGAACAAGTAATGGTGTACAATCTACTGAAGTTGGGAAGATTGTATTTTATTGCCAGCAAATCTATCAGTTCATTTAAAAAATGTCATTCTTTTATGAAAAAGTTATAGACCTAGTTTTGAACTGGTGGATATCAGACCAATAAGCTTCAAACATGCAATTGTTGAGCTATTTCTTTAACCAAGGCACTTGGCCTGGTTTCTCCAGCCCTTTAGCTTGTGGGTGTGAAGGAAAGTAACTCCCCCAACACATGAAAGCTAAGAGACCATGCCCCTGGGAATTCTGGGAAAAGGGAAAACTGTCTGGTTGTTGTGCCATTTTCTCATGACACACACCGTGGGGTCGGCTCATGACATGCCTTCTCAGGCTTTTTCCTAAATACACATACACATGTTTGCACTTTAAGGCTTGTGAGGACTCTCAGTGAGAAAAGGAATTACAAAGCACATTGGAGAAACTTCAGTTATAACAACTAAATTCCTAACCCCCACCTGAACCCTTGGACAGCACACTGAAGGTCTGTCTCAGTGTGCTGTGTCAGAGTTAGGACAAGCGTAAACAGCCTCAGTTTCAGTGGTTTTTTGTTTTTGATTTAAATTAGTTCTCACAAAGATGGACAGACATACTCTTTTCCTGCTTTAAAGGAAAGGAGTTTGAAGTGGAAAGTAGATAGATGGCAGGTTAAGTGTGTGTGTGTGTGTGTGTGTGTGTGTGTGTGTGTGTGTGTGTGTGTGTGTGTGTGTGTGTGTGCACCCAGAAGTTGGCCAGTCATTAGTAGAGCTCTGTGCGTTGGAGGAAGTGGTGGTTACTGATGACTCAGCCGAGCCATGCATTTCATTCTTTCTCTCTCCAGTCTCTCTGTGCTTTCTCTCCTCCCTCTGTCATTTGCTTTGCTCTTTACATTCTATTCATTCTTCTTTTCTATTCTGGATCTTTGTTTTCTATTTTACTCTCACCCTTTCTGTCTCTGTCCACCACCTTTTCTCTCTTCCCCCTGATTCATCTTGACCTTTGGAGACATCTCTGAGTGTGTATTTATGTGTGTATGTGTGTGTGTGTATGAGAGAGTGTGCATGTGCTGTGTGTCTGCCTGACTAGGATATTCAGCAATGTGAGTGGGAAGATAACTGGCTTCCTTCAGAGTGATTAAAACATTCCTTCTTCTTTTTCCTCTCTCTTTCTTTCTCTACCCTTTTAGTTCTCATTGACTTTCTGATGAAGATGAGAATGAGGAGAGACAAACTGGTAAGTAAACCTCAAGCTGGACATTAGCTTTGTTTTTTAGCACTGACTGATGTTTATCAGACTTAGAAGAAAAACAGTTCTAGGAAACTCTCTTCTTTCATATTTTAATCTGTGTGCCGCTCGGTAGTAATTTCTGCAGATGTTGTAGAAAAGCTTTGCTTCTTTAAGACATTTGGTAAAATAGATCAAAGGAAAGGAAAGATCACACATTGTGTATTTATAAAAGTAGAGAAAATACAATCTTAAAGAGCAGGAAGGAATCAGGTACTAGCCTGAAGATGTTACAAATGTTTCGAAACCTTATGAATTTGATTGCGAGGCCATCTGAGTTTGTTTTATCCCTCTTAAGTAAAGAAAAAGACGTTAATAAGCTGCTTTTTTAAAAATAGAGCACACGGAGTGATTTTCCTACAGCACAAAATAGCACAGCATGCAAAACACAGGTTCGCCTTTTGCTGAGATGGGTTAAAAATAGGAAACGTAATGAAAAATCTGACCGTGGAGAATGAAAGAGATGGTAAATAGCACTGTGAAGAAAAATGTTTTGAGTTAGTTGGCAGTCGGACAGGTTGTGGCAGATATTGGCTATATTCGGCACTTGGCATGTACAGTAACTCTAAACTTAGTCATTTAATCATAGTGTGACGCACTGACCGCACCTCTAAAGGGCTAAAGTGAAAGTGGCGGTATTATATCTCCTGGTGATATTGAAGCAGCTGTCTGCAAATGGAACAAGGGGATCAAAGAGTTCCAGATCAGGAGCACGTTAATCACTTTGATCAGTCTGTGTACAAGAATGAGTATTTTAGTGACGTTAGTGGGAGTTTCACAGCCCGCACTGACGCAAAGATCTGTAAGCTGTGTAAAGTCATGCTTATGAGGAGGAAAATCAAAAACACAAACAATATGCTGCGCTCCAGATTCACATTTTGAATGAACAGAAAGGCCTTTTTGAGTAGGCTAGCTAGAAGTGAGGGCTTTATTGCTTCACAGGTTGCAGCGTTATTATAACGTGCCAGACATATAGTGAGGCATAGATTGCAAAAGTAAATAAATAAATAAAAGTAATTAGACTATCACTTGGTAAATAAAAGCTGGAAGATTAATAATGGATTGGATTTATATAGCGCTTTTCAAGGCACTTTACAATACCACTGTTCATTCACTCTCACATTCACACACTGGTGGAGGCAAGCTACAGTTGTAGCTACAGCTGCCCTGGGGCAGACTGACAGAAGCGAGGCTGCCATATTGCGCCATCGGCCCCTCTGGCCAACACCAGTAGGCGGTAGGGTAAAGTGTCTTGCCCAAGGACACAACGACCAGGACAGAGAGCCCAGGGATCGAACCAGTGACCTTCCGGTTACAGATGCGCTTCCCAACCCCCTGAGCCACATTCGCCCCGGATTACTCGACGGTTATTTTTATCAAGCGCTAACTGAGCATTGCTTTGCCGTTTGATCTGCAGTGACAGAAACAACAAACATATACACACCAAATGTTGCCTTGTATCTGTTTATCTGACCAAAATCACAAAATCGAGCTATATCAGCTGTAGTTCATGTTAATGCTGCATTCAGTGGCAAATGGAAACTTGCATATTTAAATTTCTGAGTGAGAAAAATGGACGAATATAAAACGAAACTGGGGAGGCTACTGGAGAACTAGCTACTGGGATTCTAGCTGGTACTCTGTGTGGTACATTGCTTCCAAAAAAGTGAGAGATTTGTTCATGATCTAATTCAACTTTGCACCACACAGCCTTTACCCCAGTTTGCCATTTTTGTGACAGTTGACGTTTAAATTATTTATCGACCAGGTATAGCAAATGGAGCTCAGCTCTTTGGTGTAGATTAAGTCAGCTATAAAAATGTAGAGATTCATATTTTACTTTGTCTATTAAATCTATTAGCAGCAGCGATATTTTTAGCCACTTCTTTGTTTGAGTCACCACCTTAATGGTTGTAGCCCACTAAGACACCTAAAATCATGTTTTCACACGGAGTAGCATTTTTTGCAATGAAAGTTGAATAAATAAGGAAGGTTTTAGACAAAATGGCTCAAACTGTATCAGTAAAAAGGGTAATTTTATCCAGAATAAATGTGAGTTGCATTTATCATTGTAGCTGCGGACACAGTCTTGCATGCCGTGAAAAACGTGATAGCTGGACAGTGAGCATTTCTAGCTTTGTGCTTGCTAAAAATCTTTCAGCTTTGGAAAGTGAAGCCAGTGTGCAAGTGCCTTAAACTTTCATGGTTTCCAAGGATCAGCAAGGGGCGACTCTTCCTTTTGCAAGTAGAGGCCCAGTTTAATAGATTTTAACGAGAAGATAACCCTCAGCTCCCTCGATCTATGATGCCAGTAAACACTAGCCTTATGAGTTTAGGGTTTCAATTGTTAATTCCAAGGTGTAATTGAGACAACATGATGTTCATTTTGTAAATGATAGCTTTCATTTGTCCAAAGCACGTTAAAGTACAGTATGCTTTAGGGTGGGCTTCGCTTGTAATCGATGGATCGCTTCAGTATGAGTTTCCCTCAGTTTCTTAGTCAGATTCACTGCTTTTGTCACATACAAACAACAAAATAGCAACAACAAAAATGCTCAGCTTAAAGTTTCTTACTGCATTTTTCATTAACCAATGATTGATGCCATAGTGTCAAAGTCAATATTTTACAAAACGTTCTACAAAAGCCTTTTTTTTTTTAAACTTATTAACTACATAGATGTGTATTTTTGTACAAAGTTGTCACTTGGACAAATGCAGACAGTTGCTCTATGTTTCTGTCCAGTAATATGCTGAGTTCTCTTTATAGACAGAAACACTGGAGACATGCTGAGTCTTGTTCGGGTATACAGCCTGTGGATGTCATGACATGGCTCAAAACCTCTGAGATATGCAGCTGGAGAATTTATTGTTCACTTCCTTGTGGCTCATTGGATATGGAAAGTATAATTTGGGCTCAAGAAGTTACAAACCTGTCATTTTTGTGCTATGCACAAAAACATTCAGGCTGAAAACAGGAGTCGAACGACTAATTAAAACATGATAAAGTGAAACAGCTGTGCAAGCTAAACAAACTGCCCGGAGGTAGTTAGATCACATGGGGTTATTTAATCAGACAAATATTATGGGAGTGTGTTAATGTGGACTTCTGGGAAGCCTTACATCTGCCTCATGTTTAGGCTTAAATTATCATTTAAAATGAAAGATTTCTCTTTTTTACATGTAAATCCCTTTTAAACTGTTAACATGCCAAAAATGCATCAGCAGTGCCATTTCTCTACTCACACTGGAATGATGTATTTGACCTTGAGCTTCATTAAGTTCTAACTGTTAGGCCATGCTTGGTCTGCACAATACTAATCATGCTTTATGAAGCACTTTGGGCTGCATGGCTGTATGAAATTAAGGTCAAAATATGTACATAGAAACACAACGCTCTTTCAAACACTCCTTTCGGTCCACGCACTTTTCGTAATGTTTGATAAGTGGTATCAGTTTCCATGTGTTGTCAGATGGCACACTCACTCACACACGACACATACACACAATTCACTCACACCCACCTATGCCAGCCCTGTTCCGCCAAGGCTCCCCCCGTTTACGGTAAATGTATGTTTTTGTCACCTGTGGGCCAGAATGAAGTGATGCAGTTAGTTTTGGTATCGTGTCCGTGGCCATGCATCTCCACCGCCAACAGAGACCGAGAGCAGTGCAGCGTGGGTAGGCGTGGGAGTGCTGTGACAGAGATGACTCAGCTCTCTGTTGCCGGGTAGAGAAACGCCAAACACACCCCCACTCCCATACATTTAAAATTGACTGTTTTTAAGGTAGTTGTCATTCATGCCTCATCCTTTGGTAAACACCCATCTAAACCGTTCATCAGTCATGTGAAGGAGTCCTCTGAAATACATTGTTCACTTCACATTAATTAATTAGCTGCCTTGCATATTTCTATTGGTGGAAACAGCCTCTTGCGCAGCTAGCTCTTAATATTTAAGATCCACCAACAATCTAATCCTAACTTTAAAAATGTTTGTTGAAATGAAAAAATACAAATAGTAACAGATGGTGAGAGCGGACTGCGCGGAGAGCGGTAAGCTTTTTATATAAAGTTAATTATATGACAGGTTATTTGGAGAATATAGTTGGGATAAGGTTGAGATCACTTTTTTTCTCCATACCTCTGTTTTTTTTTCTGAACGTGCACCCTAACTCTGAAGTGTGGTATAATAAATGCAGTCCTTAATCCGTTCAGAGCATAATTCGGCCTGTGAGTTGGTTAGACAGCTCATAACATGCATTTGAAAAAAGTTTGGTGAATCTTATAGAGGGATTACATTTTTTACGGCACGCTGTGAAGTCTTTTTGTCTAAGTCTAACTTAGTAGACAAGGATGTGTGCTGATACAATTTACTTTATCAGAAAATTCCCACTCTGAACATTAGCCGTGAAGCTCTTAGTATATCTTCTTCTTTTTTTAATTTTGTTGATTTAATTACTGCAGTTTAAGTGACACTCGTAGTGATTATTAAAATGGTAAAGATACAGTTAGAGATAAGCTCAAATTTAGCTTCACCCACTAAAAATATGAGTTTTAAGAGTTTTCAGTTGGGCTTAAAATGTTACACATCAAAGCACCTTGAGATGCATACATAGGGACTTCATAAGGACAGCTGCAGATATTTTTTTTCAACTTACTTGGCAGGGTTACAATTATTTATTTAAAGGTTTGCCTTTGACAGATAAGAGCAGCTATAGAAGAAGTGAGAACCTGCTATGTGTCATCCAGAAAATTAAAGTAGAAACCGAAGAACAGAAAATGACTCTGCATCACGTCTCCCTCGACAGTGATCCGCTGTGTTCTCAGTCTGAGAATACGCCGTATTTAAATGTTTGATAGTATTTCACTCACATGCCCATGAATACATATATTAAAACTGATTTATCAATATACTGCAAGTTAGATAAAGGACTGTTAAGACTGTCCTGAC